TACTCTCTAGGTTTTGTTAATCAGTGAATGTACCTAATTTATAGTTTAACCAGTAGCACCTATGACATCATAGATTTTGAATCTGTATGTAGCTATCATGAGATGTGTCTCCTAAATTATTGATCATATTACAACGCATGCATAAATCAATAGACACTACAGATCTACATTTCATTGTAAAAAAATTAAGATAGGTACCTCTCTTCTCCCAGCAGCAGGAGATGACTCTTCAGCTGGCTGTTGCTCTCCTGCAGGATACTGCGTTCCATCTGGAGATGCTGGCACTGGTCCCGCAGGAACTGCAGCTCTCCTGTCACAAGGACAAAAATTTGCAATGGCGCATGTGATAAAGTACAAACACAATAAATCATAACAACCTGCATTCCATGTAAGAAGGATCTATGCAACACAAAAAAACGGCTTAGCAAGTCCTCAGACAACATTTTGGATTGCAGTTTTCAATGTGTAAAAGAGAAAGGAAAAGGAAAATCAGTAAAATATATTTTTTTAAATGTAGCCTGCAGATTTTAAAAGATAATGATAAATCTGGTACACAAAATAAATGTAATTTACGAAAAGTAGGGCAAAGGTGGATTTGTGGTTAATATAACATAACTATTTAACATAACTATTTAATAAGATAGATTTTATTTTGACCTTAGAATTATGTTGATGAAGACAGCCATTGCCTTTACTGTAAAATTAGAATAAGGACTTGATGTTTGTGTTAGGGATGAGCTCAGGTTCAGAAGAAAACCCAAACTCATCCAAGCCTGGAAGGAAGCTGTCAGTACCAGCCAATCAGCTGCAGCCAGGTCATTTCCTACCCTGCAGCTGCACATAATGGGATGCTGGTGGCATCATTGCCCTTATAAGGCCATAAGGCCATATTAGGTCAATGTCATTGTCCAAATATTGCCAGGTTAATGATGTCACCAGCATCCCACTGCTTTGTTTATTTGCAGCTGCGGGGGCAGGTAATGCCCCAGCCGCAGCTGATTGGGGCACAATGACAGCTTCCTTCCAGGTTCAGATGAGCTTGGGTTTGTTCCGAACCCAGGCTAATCCCTAGTCTGCGTAAATTAGAACAATATAAAGAAAATTTAAGATTTGTTTTCCAAAAAGGGCATCCATAAATTCAGTAATTTGGATAGATAAGGTGGTGATTATGTGACAACAATGTTCCAAGTTCTACACAACGGGCAGTACCCATAGCATATAATATTAAATGATTGGGGGTATAGGCTCAGTCCACAAAGGTAAAACCCCAGCGTAGGATAATTATTTTAAACAAAGTGACAGTTAGTTTCATCTCAGTCCAATGAAATGTAAAAACCTGTGACTGAAAATAAAGATCCTTACCCTTGTGGAAAGCTTTATGAATTGAGCCATATAGATGTTAATTTTTACTATATATGCTTGATAGGCTGTACATTTATGGTATGTTGTATGGGGAACACTGTGTTCTATACACTGGGTATGTGATTAATATTTAATTGAAGGTTATAACACTGCCGTACATCTGTTTCTGGGGGGCATGGTTCTTTGCATGGGACTGTCTGAATGGTACGGTACTTAAACTTTGGTGCTGTATGAATGTGGCAGTACAAAATAGATGTGAAACTTTTAGGTCTTATTCAATGCTAGTCAAGCTTAAAGCATCTGAAATATAATACATCCTTAAAAGCCATACATTTTGATAATGTGGCCTCTCACTAATGTACTGGGGTAATGCTCTTCATACAATATTTTCCATTGTTTATCTGTTTTTCTTTATGCCAACTGACTTGAAAAGGTCAGGCTTTTCAAATATGTCAAAATAGATCAAAGAGACATAAGGATTAACTGGTGCATTTGGAGAGCATGAGTGCATCCATTTAGCATAGAGTGCTGTGGTAGGAGGAAATATACAATACTTTTCTGTGAGCAAGGGTAGATGTTTTGGCAGAGTGTGATCCTGACACGGGGCATATATATATATATTTATATTGTGTAAGGAGTAAGAGGTCTGTTTTATACTTGACTTTCAGCATAGCTAGTTATTTCAAGCAGCCAACATTTTAGGAAAGTGAACTATTGCCAGGACTATGTACACTAAAGTACTTACATATTCTGAGCAATTGATAAAAGCCATTTGAAACCAGTTAATTCACCTCTGTAGCTATAGGCATCGTAGGGAAACTCATCTTCAAAATTCACAACAGAATTGTAGCTATGTTTATGGAGAGAAGATCTAAGCAGCCTGCTTTCAATCTAATTTAAACATATACCAAGCGTTGCTAAGCTGTTTGAAACCAACTGAAACCCGACTTTGGAGTCTTTGTTGTGATCTTTGAGGATATTTGAGAATAAACAACTTAACAGTACAAGCAACTAGAGAGGTCATTAATAACTTGTTTAAAGGTCTTTTACTACTTGTTAAGAATATGTAAATATTTTAACATCTCTAGACTATGCACTGGTGCACTTTAACCACCTCCTTACCGCCATATTTTTTTTTAAAAAGGCAGGGAGTTGGATGTGTATTTTTGGAGTTCCGTTTATAAACATCATTCCAGAATATACCCCTGAGCAGCTGGTGTGCTCGTTAATGACTTATCAGAGCCGTCATTGGCAAAGCAGATCCGATGACTAATCACATAATTTACAAATATAAACAGCACAGTTATTTTTGTCTTTTTGGTCTTTTTTCCTTAGCTAAGTAAAAAATTTTTTATAAACAGAGTTTATTAAATACCACCAACAGAGAATGCTACCTGTCTGATATAAAATGTATTTGGGTACAGTGTTGCTTGACTGAGTAATTGTCATTAAACTATCAAAGCACTGAAAACTAATAAATGACCTGGTACTAAAGGGCTACAGGCAGCCCTTTGGTTAAGGAGTTGGGACTCAGCAGTCCTGATATCTACTGGCTTCTGATTCTGCCTTGGCTAATGACAAACAGTATGTATTATTATTATTTTAACCAATAAGCTAAACAGTAAACCTGTTCTTGTGTATCATATCCTATAACAATAAATGAGAGAGGTATGGGCCAGTCAATTGAGAACAATATTACAATGACAAAGCCAGTGTGGTTACCCTGCAGTGTTGCAGGTTCCTGTCCTGCATGCACACTACAGCTCTTCATGCTGATCTCTGCTCTTAAGGTGGTTATCTCCATCTCATACTCCTGCCTTGTCTCCTGTAGCTCATGTAATTCAGCTCGCAGTCTACACAACTCCTCTTGCAGCGAGGCAATGTCACTCTCACGCTCAGCTGCTGCCTCCTCTGCTGACTGACGCAGAGACATAATCTCCTCCTGTGCACAGCGTAACTCTTGGGACACCTCCAGCAGTTCACACTCCTTCTCCTGTTCCAAGCTGTCCACCTCCTCCTGTACTGAGCGCAGCTGAGCTGCAGATGGATGAAGACAACATGTCATATTGAGGTTTAGCCATGATTTGACATTCAGATGTGATATTAAACAGTCTATTTTTCATATTAGGAGATAATTCAATTAAAGGATATCTAAGGTCAAAATCTAAAAACAAATATGTATTTATATATTGGATTTCAATAAATTCTATCCCACTCCTAATAACCACATTAATCCAGAAGTTTGTAAACTCACAGAGCTTGCATTTTGAACATTATCATTGCTTGCTGGAAGCAATGCATAATGGGATATGTAGTCTTGAGAAATCAAGAAACCTTCTCAAGAGTAAGAAAAGTATATTCATCTGCCAGTATAATTAATCAGTAATAGTATGCATAGGCAATTACATTGGCATTACAGGGTCAATCCATCTAAAATGAAATATTCCTATTATAGATGAAGTCTGGCAAACTGTTACCTTCTGGTCTTTTTTTTTGTTTGAGGATTCTATTGGCAGGATCTCAGTGACATAGTTCCTGGCATGTTTCATGAACACTTTGAAGTGCTATGTTTGTGCACGTCCATGCTGGATGTTCCGCTGGTGCAGCCAGTATTGAGCCCATAGAGATCCGGTCACACCCCCCCCCCCCCCCATTGGAGGAGGCAGGGGGGGCCCAGTGAGATACGGTCCTGGGCCATCCCCCCCATTGGAGGAGGCATGGTTGCATGGTCTGGCGATTTCAATTTATTATTTGAAGTGTCTGCTCTAAGGTCCAGTGCTTGCTGGGGATCTCGCGGCAGCTTTCTGGGGAACAATGCGGCACCTGTTTACAGTGCTGGCTGCGCATCTCCCTCTCCTGAAACCTTACACACCCCTCCTGAGACCCTCTGCACCCCTCCTGAGACTCTCCAAAGCCCCCTGAGATCCTCCACACCCCTCCTGAGATCCTCCACACCCCTCCTGAGATCCTCCACACCCCCCTTGAGACCCTCCACAGTCCTTCTGAGATCCTGCGCACCCCTCCTGAGAACCTCCACACCCCTTCTGAGAACCTCCACACTCCTCCTGAGACATTCCACAGCCCTCCTGACACCCTCCAACCAAGATAGCAGGCCAGCACCCCGGAGTAGAGCGGCAGCACAGAGTATGTAGAAAATTCATATACTATTATCCTGCATTAATGTATAATGTATTGCTGAGATTTGTAGTCCTCTATAGCCGATGGTATTCTGCATTACTGTATAATATATTGCTGAAATTTGTAGTCCTCTATAGCTGATGGTATTCTGCATTGCTGTAGAATGTATTGCTGAGATTTGCAGTCCTTTATAGCTGGTGGTATTCTGCATTGCTGTATAATGTATTGCTGGGATTTGTAGTCCTTTATAGCTGGTGGTATTCTGCACTGCTGTATAATGTATTGCTGGGATTTGTAGTCCTCTACAGCTGGTAGCATTCTGAATTGCTGTATAATGTATTGCTGGGATATGTAGTCCTCTATAGCTGGTGGTGTTCTGCATTGCTGTATAATGTATTGCTGAGATGTGTACTCATCCACTGTACTAAAATCATTAGTCTGTATTATTGTAGAAAAACTGTCACATGACACTAAAAAAAGCTACCGGTAATTGGTACCAGTGCGTACTTAAGTGAAAAGGATCGTATTCATACTCGATCTGGAAAAAAGGTATCGGTGCATCCCTAAGGATAGTGTTTGACTGTGGGAGGACATTAGAGTGTAAGCTCCTCTGGTGCAGAGACTGTTGTGACTGGTTCAGTGATTTCTGTACTGCACTGTGGAATATGTCAGAGCTATAGCAAGGTGGTTATAAGAAATGTAAGAGATGTAAGAAATCTTTAGGTAGTTAACTCTCCAGTCTCTACCAAAAACTTATATATAGATTTTAGGTGGTTTGACCATGTAATGTCCAGTTACACTATTTCACCATAAATTCACAGAATAATGAAGATACAATGGGGAGATTTATCAAAACTGGATGAGACAGAATCTGGAGCAGCTGCCCACAGAAACCAATCAGCTTTGCTTTTCAGTTTGTTCAGTTAAGCTTTTAAAATTAAAGATAGAAGCTGATTGATTTCCATGGACAACTTCTCCAGATTCTGTCTGCTCCAGTTTTGATAAATACCCCTCAGTTTTTATTAGACACAAGTATATCAGTCCATAGCTTACCCTGGAGCCTCTGGATTTGCTTTGTGAAAATCTCTGCTTGCTGAGCACTGGCTAATCTCTCCTCTTCCAGGATACCTGCAAATCAAAGTCCATATTAAAGAGCTGCATACATTGACTGGACTGCACTATATAAATACCAATAATAAATAAATAAATAAATAAATATGGGAAGCATAGCAGAGCCATGGGGGATCTGTTCCACTGCAAAAAAAAAAATGGGTCCGCAGGGAAGGGGCCTTCCTACAAATCATTAAAGCATTAGAGCATCTGCTCCCAGATACAGGTGTGTAAAAATTGTGCAGTGGCATGGCAGTTTACTAACAGCAAGAACAGACATCTTGAAGCAGAAGGCACATAGAGTAAAAATAAAAACTTAGGTCAGTAATTTCTTGATTTAGTGATTTCACTGCCTTTTTAGCAAAGGGAAGAAAAAAGTGCCAGGAAGTGGTAATGTTCGTGCATAGCAACATCATCAGTCCTTACACAAGGGGGAAGTATTTGGGATTTTCCTTGTTAAATTGCTAAAATTAATCATCTAAAAGTTAATTTAATCAGTGGGTACTGCAGGTGTGTGGTGATCCAAACCTGATTTATTTTTAAAAAAGTGAGCCAGTCTACACAGTTTTCTCTGATATGACACTTGCAGCAGGGCAGGCCAGCACCCATGATAGGTCAGCTCTAGGTCCATCTAAGTCACTCAGTAGTCCATGGGGTAATTGCTTCTAAGCATGTCAGTGTCAACGTTAAAGATTCAGGTGCTGTATGTGAGTTGTTCCTGTTGCTAACCTAGCCACTAAAGCTTAGATAAGCTGTAAAAGGCCACTCTAAGACAGCTGCTTTATGGAAGTTGAGTAGAGGAGGTGCATTGGTCAGCAGGTATCCCTGCCACCACCAGGAACCAGGCACTTTAGAAGAACATTCCCAAAGTGCTGTATGTTGGACTCCCTCTGGGATGCTGGCAGGAGGTCTGCCATTTTGACTTTGGTAGACTGTGGAAGAAAATTAAAATACCCAGAAGAAACTCACATAAATTATTATTCCTCCTCTCTGTATATAATGATGGATTCAATTACTAATGCCAATGAATATGGAATAAGTAGATGATAAAACAGATGAAAGCACAACGTTCTGCATCCCCACATCCCCCATTGCAATTTCTCTGCAGCCCTAATGATGCTACCTTGCATCTCCAAAAAGCTGTCTTCATGTTTCAGTGCTAGCTCCCGGGTCTCCTCCAGTTCTGTCAACAGCTGGATAATCTGTGTCCTCAAGTCTTGGCTCTCAAGGAGCATGCTGTTTGGACCACTTTCCGAACTGCTTGGCACATCTCCAGATTCCGACTCCAGGTCAGGTGGCTCCTCATCCTCTGAGTCTAACAGAAATATGTTGTAATATAAACATTTTGAATAATGAATTACCTGTTTCATAGTTCAATAAATACCAAAGTGACACACCGCACTAGAAAGTAGAATCACAAATATATATATAACAAATTCTCCAGATCTCAATCCAAATCGACCATCAGTGGTATGTGCTGGAAAAACAAGTCCGATCCGTGTCCGATCTTGCCAATGGTAGAACTTAAAGGATCTGCTACTGATGGCTTGGTGTCAGATACCACAGCACACCTTCAGAGGTCTAGTGGAGTCTAGAGTGGGTCAGGGCTGTTTAGGCAGCAAAAGGGGGACCTACTCAATATTAGGCGGTTGGTCATAATGTTATGGCTGATCCTGTGTATATATATATATATATATATATATACAGAGGATTGTGATTCTGTGTGGTGTGCTCCTGCAGGACAAGCAGAGAAGCGGCGTGGGTGCAACCTGTGAAAGCTGTGAACGGACAGTGTGTGGGCAGCAAGAGGCTTTGAACAAAAAGAGCTGTGTGTGGCTGAAGACCGGAAGGCTGTGAAGACCAGAGCTAGAGCTGGGAGAGAGCAGCAGTTTAATAAAGAATATATGAAGATGGTCTATTTGGAGGAGTAGTAGGGAACGTTGTTGATATAACACCTCGTATATGGTGCGGAGGAGAGAACTGCTCTGACAACATACTGCCTATATGGTGGAAAGATTGATCATTACAAGGAGCGTTTTTTGCTATTTGGTCTATTATCTCTGGTGAGTGTGGTATCAAGACACATGGTTGTGTAACGGTGAACTTTTCACTGGTAGCAATTGTTTCTTAGTGTGGAGCACAGTGTGTTGATTTTATTACACTTTTTGGGACACTTTGGAGAAGATTATTAGAAGAACATTGGACTTTGTTGTAGTTAATAAGTTAGTTTTATATAGTTTTGCTTTCATTTTTAAGTTAATATTTTGCGATTATTCAGTTGTATATATATTTGTGATTTTACTTTTTAGCTCGGTGTGTCACTTTTGTTATGTAATTGCAAGTAGTTTATTTACTTCTCGGACTGCAGCTTTCACAATCAAGGGGGTTAAAGCTATGATAGGAGTCGGATATCTTTGGAATTTCCTAGTTCAAACAATACCTTGTAAAACCTTTTTTATACTTTATCTTTCCCAACTTTACAGGATGTGGACAGATCTATGGATCAGAATGGTAGCACGTGCTGGAAATAATTGTTTCTCAGTAAACCACCTTTGTGAGCACTCACACAGTGCAGGTTAATAAAGAAATTCAAGGGGTTAAACGGCACACTCCTTTTCTTCCCCATGGTCCCTGTGTGTGTTGTAATGTAGCCACCCCTCCAACCTTGCTCCCGTGAACTCAATATATACATTACATTTAGCAAATTAACCAATCTTGAACACTAAGGGTTCAATTATAAAAGTTCCACGGTAGGCTATTCATTTTTGTTTTGTTATTTGTGGCAGGAAATCTGCTTTAAAGTATCATTGCTTGAAAGAAATGCATTTACAAATGTTCTAAAGTTTTCTGCCATGTAAGGTAGGGACAGGCTAAGGGCAGGGCCTGGTGTGGTGCTTTATGTATGACTTGCTAGATCAGGGGCGCCCACTATTTTTCGTCTGGAGATCTACTTTTCAAATGACGAGCTCATTGAGATCTACCAACGAAAACACACCTGCATTCAGAGGTGGGAGGGGGCGTAGGCTGCGCAGGCAGGCCCCTCGCCCACAGTGCGATCGCCTGCATTAGTGCCTGTGTTCCAGTCCAGTGCGATCCGCAAAAATGCTGCGAGCACTATTTTTGCAGATCGCACTGGACCGGAATGCAGGCACTAATGTGCCTGCGTTCCGAGTGCGGGCGATCGCACTGTGGGCGATGCCATTGACTTCAATACAGCTCCACACCCCCTCCCGCACCGGAACGCAGGGAGTCGGCCTGCTTACATTCCAGTGCATTCCAGTACATTACAGGTCCCGGCGTCCTGTCCTCCCGTGGTGCTCGTGTGGCCGACGTTGCACATGGGGTGTCCTGCACCTTTCCATCTGCAGCGTCTGACACATTCAGCCGGCAGCCACACGAGCATAGCCGTAGCCAGCTCCTTTTGCGCCTGAGGCAAGAAAAAAAACAACGTTTTATTTATTTATTTTTTACTATTTTTTTATTTTATTATCACTATTTATTTTTATTTTTTTTAATTTTCGTAATTTTTTTTTTGTTTTTGTTTTTTACTCTTGGGGGGGCTTCGGGGAAATATTAGGGGTCTAAAAAGCCCCTTGATATTTCCCTTTTAAAATAGAAAAAGAAATTGAGGACACATAGTCCTCAATCTTTTTTTCTGCAGCCTCTATTCTAAATGAATGGAAAGCACAGATGCTTCCCATTCATTCAGAAAATATTTACTATCAAGCAGTTTCGAGCCTCTGTACAGAGTGCTTCTCCCCATTGAGAAACTCATGAATGAACGGGACGTGATGTAAATCACATCCTGTTCATTCATTTATAACTTCCCGGGCAGAGGCAGCGGGGGATCCGACGAGAAGTGAAAGAGCACTTTCACTTTCACAGAACGGACGAGCAGTGAGGGGAGAGAGAGGCGCCGGCTGTCAGATCCTGGCCGAGCGTCTCTCTCTCTCCTCACCGCTCTGCATTAATTCTGTGACAGCGGCTCCGTCCTCCGCCCACCCCCGCCGCCGGTTCCTTCACTTCTTCTCGGATCCCTGCTGGGGAGAGCAGCGGGGATCCAGAGAAGCGGCGGGAGGAGAGGACATGGCGATCTACCAGTGATCGCTACGTGATCGACTGGTAGATCGCGATCGACCTTGTGGGCACCCCTGTGCTAGATGCTTATTGTGAGGCTAGTTCATGCCAGGCTAAAGCTTAGCGTGAAGAGTGAACCTCAGGAGAGGTAAGCAGCAACTCCTTATTTTAAAAGAAAGAATATAACCACAGGAAAGAATGGCCGAGGGAAGGAACAAGAAAAGTAAAGAGCTATGCAAAAAAGGGCCAAAAAAGAAGAAAAAAAGGCCCAACACTGGCTCATCACTTGGCTGATCCTGCAGATTGAACACTTAAACAAGCACCATCTCTACTGGAAGAGGAGGAAGTCGGTTGTTTCCCTTCTTTAAGATATTCAGTTAACTTGTTCAGAAGTGTGTTAATCTGGCATCCTGCTATTCAAGTCTGTATTCATAGCAGTAAAACACTTATCTGAAACCCTGGAGCAGCGGATTGTAGACTGCATGCATTAAATCATTTTTACCTTGCAAATAATACATAGGTATGCACCGATCCATTTTTTTCAGACCAAGTACAAGTACCGATACGTGTCCAAGTACTCAGATACCAAATACTGATACATTTTTGTTTAGTGTCATGCAACAGTTTTTCTAAAACAATACAGATTTATGTTTTCATGACAGTGGTGGAACACCAGGGCCTAGTCCCAGCTGAAAATCCTGCAACCCTGGTAGTTCTTGCTAGTTTATAGCCCATAAAAGCAGACACAAAAACAGATTTCTTGTCCGTAAGCTGTCCCTCAAAGCAAGGTCTCAACATGTCATGTGTATATAGCAGGTGGGCAAATAGTGTTCCCAAACTGAATTCCCTTAAAATTAATTCCAGGCACAAGGTAGATGTGTAAACTGGGCTAAACCAACAGAGAGAATTCAGCTCTAAAAGTTGAAATTGACAAACTCTTTAAGGGCCCATTCACACCAAAATCCGAAGGAAATCGAAAGTCAACGCAGGGTCTATTGACTTGCAGTTACAACCTCCGTTGACTTCCATTCCGTTGGGCTTTTTTTAAATTTTGCTTTCTCTGCTTTGCCAATCTTTATTTTAATGAATATGTCCTGAGTAGACAAACATCTATATATATATATATTTTTTTACTTCCATTGCATTGTGTTTCATCAATTTTTGTTCCGTTACGTTATGTTGCACTGAAAAAATGTAGAGCATGCTCTACATGTTTTCATTACCTTGCAACGGAACGGACCGAAGAGGTGTGAACTGATCCTATTCACACCCATTCTTTTTTCAGTGCCCTTGCATTAGCATCCGTTGAAAAACGGATTGCAACACAACGGATCTAGTGTGAATAGGGCCTTAGAGTAATTCTCAAGTATATACCTGTACAACACCTCTGCATAGTAATCAGCATCAGATGGAAGAACTGTTGGCGCTTCATAAGAAATAAAAGCAGAATGCTGCAAGATTACAGAAATTGCGTGAGATCTGTGTTTGGTTGTATACTATTCTATCGTGATCAATCTTTTCATAGACAAAAAAAGCATTACTAAGACATTTGGAATAATAACATTCAGTAGTCGAAGACAAGACTGACTGTGACTTGGTTAAATATCTATTTCTGGCTGTGATGAATAATACATGGTGTTCTGCAGTGCACCAAAATAAGATACACTAAAGGCTTGCACATCTGTTTTTCTCCTGACTGAGTTTCATGCTTTTATTATGCTCATCAACAATCCTATATGTAAAAGAGCAAGCAATGATTCAGGGTGATAACTGGATGAAAATATAATGCAAAGTGTGTTATGCAAGAGGCTTGGAAGAAATGAAAAATGCAAATATAACTGTACAAGCAAATAATCCCATTAGATCTCCACCTTCAGTGTATTTGAATCCGGTTTAGGGAGTATACTGCCAATTATATATTTTTGAAAATTACTGAACAGCTCCAAGCACCAAGGCTAATAAATCCCATCTATATTGATGCCTACAGACACTAGAGGATGCTCAAATCTGCCAACATTAATCTACCCTCTCAGGGCAGTAAACAATGTGAATTGCAAGGTTCTGCCAAGCTACTAAGTTAACCAATAAAGAAAGAACTGACCCTGCACCATGCACCATGTGAATGTGCTTATGTATTGTATAAATGTGGAAAGAGCCTTAATGCGAAATGTCTGATAACAAGTGGGCCAACATTCTCCTACATGAATACTAGGGTTGCACAGATACCAAGTACAGGAGTCGGTACAAGTATGAGTACATGTACCGATACTTTTGAGCTCCAAGACTAGACTAGAGAAAAATTAAAAAATTAGGAGGCAGCTGTCATTTGTAAGGAGCACACGGAGCTCCTGGGATTTGTTCATCTCTGTTTTAATGTATGATTTTGTTTTTATAAATATAAATAAAGGGATGCACAGATACCAGTATTGCAAGTACGAGTACTGGTACTTGCCGAGTACTTACAAGTACGAGTACTGATACATTTTTGTTTATTGTCATGTGACAGTTTTTCTAAAACAATACAGACTAATGATTTCAGGACAGTGGTGGAGTGCCAGAGCCAGGTCCCAGCTGCAACCTCTGCAACCCTGGTAGTTCTCATGAAAATGCCAAGTATCTGCACTGGTACTCAAAAAGTATCTGTGCATCCCTAATGAATACCCTAGAACATACCAGGAAACAGACAGGGATTAAATCTAATGCCGTATGATTTTGGAACCTGAAGTTCCTCAAGTTTTCTGTTTTGCTGATTATTGACTTCAAATCTCATTTAGTGGTGCCTCCATGCAATGTATGGAGGACACAATCTAAAAAACAGTATATAATGTGATTACTCAAACACTTAGTTTTTCTACTTTTAAAAAAATATTAATAAATCAATGTTGTTAAATTGGCAAATTTGACCAAAATCTTTGCTTTGGAAGTTTAAAAAAATATATATTTTACTTATGTCAGAAGGCACATCCAGCAGAGCTGTGCTGAGGTTGTTTTTGGAATCAATACAACCTAGATCTCTGAACTGGAGCGCTGTTCTTTAAAAAAAAAAACCTAAGAAGATGAATCATTAGGACATGCTAACAACATTCATTGCTTTCAGAACTTATACCAATCACTTGTGTATAGTTAGCATGCTTTCAGTAGCATATAGTAAACTAAAACCAACATCAGTTTATCCCTGTTTGTCTGTGGCTTAATGGGGCTGAAAAGCTTAAAGCTGCTTCCCAATTAGCTCTGTGTTAACACCTAACAGTGCCTAAAGCAGAAATCTTCACCAGTACACCTGTTATAAAATAATTATATTTATTCACAAAAGAAAAAAAAAGGCATGATAACAATGTTCCTCATGCTTAACCCTATGCTTGTTAAATGTTTCCCTACTGGAAGCTAACTACAAAGTTTTCTATTGCTGGTACTTGGTGCCTTCTAGATTAGCATTAAAGGAGAACTATGAGGTGAGTGCTTTTCACTCACCTCATAGTTCTAGCCGACCTGTGACAATGAGACTGTCACAGGTCGGCTCAGTAGATCGGGAGGTGAGTGAACACATACCGGGTTCGCTCGCCTCTCGATCCTGTCACGGCTCTCTGCCGTGACAGGGGGAGGGGCTGGATTCCCCTCTCCCCGCTCCGATCTGCCAGCGCTGACTGGCGGAACGGACGGGGGAGGGGGCGGGTACAGCTGGCTCTGCCTCTAGATAGGCAGAGCCAGCTGTCACTCACGCAGCTGGGCGGATCCCGTCATCTAAGTCGTGATCCGCTCCGGCTGCGGCGTCTCAGTATACCGCGAGCTGTAGCTCGCGGTATACTGAGCTTAGGGTAACGGGAGGACGCTAGTTTGTGTCCTCCCTTTACCCTAAGGAGAACTATGGGGAAAAACACTGACCCCATAGTTCTCCTTTAATGTTTCCGGGAACCAGTTCTCTATGCTTCCGTGGATGTGAACATCAGGGAACCATGACCCGTATTTGGTTGCAATATTCTAAATTGCGGCCCTTCTGGAATAGATTTTTTGCCTTGCTTTTCAAAGTTCTCCACATTTGAGTTCCAAGAGACCCACAATAAGTGTTGAGTTTCTAGGACGCAAGGCAAACTTCTATCCTTCTTTTTCTTAGCGGACAAAATTTATTTTGCCAGAGCCTGGAAAACAGCGAAAGTTCCTTTTCTATATGTCAAGTCCAAACTCAATTGGATCATGGATAAGGAAAAATGATATAGCATCCTTCAGGACAGGCAACTCCAGTTTGAGGCATTGTGAGAACCCTGGCTACAATATTTAGGTATTTCTGCTTCTGTCTAATTACATCTATACATATAGCACTAGTTGACGTGTCCGGAGCCTATAGTTCTTTCTCTCTGTTATTTTCTGTTATTCCTATCTTCTCTTTTCCTGTATTAATGTATCCCCCATTGACTAGGCGGAATATTGAATATGTTATATTCTGAATAGATTATTCTAATGTATTCCAATTCTGAGGATATGTATTTTATTGTCTAACACACATTTGGCTTAAAGCTGTTGATCTTATATGGCACTCTTACCTCTGAGGCTATCACATTGTGTCGAAATAGGTTTCATAGACTTTACTTTACTCATTAAAGCTCGCATGGGTGAAATGTGCTCCTGTATTGTATAAATGTGGAAAGAGCCTTAATGCAAAATGTCTGATAACAAGTGGGCCAATATTCTCCTACATGAATACCCTAGAACGTACCAGGAAACAGACGGGGATTAAAATTAATGTCATATGATTTTGGAACCTGAAGTTCCTCAAGTTTTCTGTTTTGCTGATTATTGACTTCAAATCTCATTTAGTGGTGCCTCCATGCAATGTATGGAGGACACAATCTAAAAAACAGTATATAATGTGATTACTCAAACACAGGCCCTTCAATGTCTTAGTTTTTCCAGTTTAAAAAATAAAATATTAATAAATCAATGTTGTACTATTTTTATATTCTCTGTATATCTGAAAAACCTTCTTCTTTAATAAAAACTTTGAAAGAAAAAAAAGGGATCACAAGCCAACATTTCGGGACCATACAGGATGCCTTTCTCAAAGCAAAGATATGATACTTTTAAATGGAAGCGTTATGTTCTTTCGCCAAATCACCAAATCTCAATCGTGAGTCACAGTAATAGAAACAATAGCTTTACTTACACTCACCATTCAGTAGCTCTCTTGGATAAGAATGATTTCTTCTGGTAAGAGGCTGGGGGAGCCAGCGACCAGGTCCTCCTGAACCTGGATTGGTTCCTGTGGTGGGAAAGAACAGAAACATATCATATATTTGTATATATGTAGGGACCCTGCATATGTAGGGACTAAGCAGTAGTATAGCTTAGGCCATTGATTGCTTCTGTCTGTTAAGCTGGCCATACTCTGTGCGAAAAGCATTTGATTCCCCCATCAGCGGCAAATAGTGTGGATGGGGAACCTCCCCTTCCCTGGTTGGCTATTGTATTCTGACAGTGGACGGTGTACTACTGTTAGAATATCCGAACAGTGACTGCAACTGATTGGTCAAGAATTTTTGGAGTAGCTCCTTTGACAAATGTGAACTTTTGATGAAGGAGTGGGAAAGGATCCCGAGTTGGCTACACTGATTGAATTTCGGACTTTGGGCAGTCTATGGCTAGCTTCATTGTTGAGCAGTCTGCAGTAATCAGTGTGATAAGGGTCAGTCATGTATATTTATTCATTTATTCCCATAGGCCAGTCACTTGGGAGATTGCTCATTAATGTCAGCTGGGGGAAGGTAATAAATATTAGGAACAACCAACCAAATGTCTTTCCCTCCTTTCTGCCCAGGGCTGTGCCTCTGGTGGAGCTATGGTTTATAAATTCCTGGATTGCCAAGTCCATGTTGCTCTGGACTCTGTTCAGAGTAAGCTATGCAAAGGCTGGACATGTAGTATTGAAGAGACCTCCTGGTAAAGAAAGAACCTGTGGCTCCCCACATAAAGTAAGTATTACTGCCCCACATATGTATATTTGAAAATGTTTACAAAATCAGTATTTCACATATACACTTCTATAAAGAGTTCCTCTTTTTAGGGCTACATTCTAAGTGGAGTAACCTAGAGCAGCTAATCATAATTTGTACTAGTCTATTCAAGTAACACTGATTGGTTGGTCTGGGACACAGCTTTTAAGAATTAGGACCTAAAATGTATGTAAACCCTAATAGACCTATCTTACTTTCTCCCTTTTGGCTTGTTAAAATTAATTTAAAGTGTTTTGTTATTCCCAGTTCACCTCTGTACACTACAGAACACATTTCCCTGTGTTATGTAGATGAGGAGAGGTGCAGGAGTCCTGTAGTCCTAACACACTTCCTATCCTGGGGTGGCCACACTGCTCCTCCATAGATACAGTACAGTGAGTGAGTGTTAATAACCATGGAATAGGAAGGGGTCTATTTAGGAGCATACTTCTTTTAAGTATTTATTTTCTATGCTCCTAAGCACCTTTTATTGGCCATAATGCAGTGTTTTCTGAATGTCACATTCAAGGGGTCTATTTATATAATGTTCTCACCCAAAATTCATGCAGCCTTCACCTAAGATTCACACATTTTTGTAATTGGATTCAGCTGGAAAAATGCATAAAAGTTGTGTGAAATTTGTGTGAAAACATTTATAAATAGACCCATAACCGTGTTTAAGCCTTGCAATATTGACTGCGTGACAGAGCTGACCATATTGTTATTTTTCTGGTGTACCTAGAAGAACTCCACATAAAATCCAAATGCCCAGGGTGATGAGGAAGAGGCAGCAGCAGTGATGCATAGACTGGTATCAGTACCACACAGCAGCTGTCCCAAGCAGCAAGTTGTTGTTACTAAAAAGTCAGCAGAGTTGTGCAAACCATATTAAAATGTGACCAGTCCTGTCCTCTCATATGTATATTCCTTAACATTTGATTGTTGATCCTGAGAGTAAAACCATGGTCTGTTCACATGCTGGGAGTGGTAATGGCGGTACTGGTGGTGGATGGTGGTGCTCTTGGAACTCTATTAGTGGCAGTGGCAAGGGCAGGCAGACAACAGCTGGTCCAAGAAATTCACAGTGTGTTAGATTTGGGCTTAGGTGATGGTGGCACTGATGATGAAGTGTTGGAGAAGGCCTGAGAAATGCTTGAAGAGAGATGGTCATGGCTTGATCTCAATTGTATCATGGCTCCTGAAAACAAAATTGGCCCCATGGATTATTGGGCATTCAGCTGGTACCAGTGGTCCAAATTGATCCAGTTTGTCCTGCCCACTTTCCAGCGTCCTTTTAGCATGTGCATTATTGTAGGATCTCCAATCTCCAGATTGTTCATTGTTAGCATCAAGAGGCTGGCACTTATTACAAATAAATAATGACTGAAGAGGCTAAGATTTTCTACTACCCATCCCTGATGCCACAGAATAGGTACATCTCTATCACCACCATCAGCAATAGACATGGAATAAACTAATATGCTCATATGAGGCTATTTATTATTATAATTTACATATAAAATGGTTATCATGTTGTATGTGTAGCCCCCATTGCCTTCTGTAATGTGGCTACTAGACATTTAGTGATACCAGGGCGGTAGTCAGCCTGGCTGGACTTATAGTGGCAATTATCTGGTGGATTCCAGGTGTCTAGCATTGCCTGTACCCCCTGGGTGGAGTGTGACTCTGTCATATTGTGGGACAGCCAACGAGAGGCACTGTAGTGTATGAACAGTACAGCAGCCAATCACTGGGTTTCTCTCAGCCAGTGGTGCATGCTGGGATAGGGTAGATATACTGGTGGGATTTGCCATGTGCTCAGACTAGCCGGGCCCAGCAATGGAATAGGGCTGGGTGCTGTTCAGCCTGCCCCCCAGGCTAGGCATAAGGCCCGGGGGTGGGCATGGGCTGGTGTAAGGGAAAGGTTTCCCTGAGGCCTCCAATATGGAGGCCTGTGATGCTGATAGAGGAAGAGAATCGGGACCAATGCAGGCTCTTGAAGTACCCTGGAACTAAGAGGACTTCAGGAGCATATTCGGTGTCTTTTCTGCTTGAGGATTTGTATCCATCCTGCTTATCTGCTACATCAGTTGCTGTCCACTGTCTCCCAAGTGGATCTACACTGATATGCAAACCAGGTCTGGTGTGTCTTGAGCTCTTGTTAGTTACCACTGGAAACCCAGAATTCCTATAACCTCTCTCCCCAGTGAAGATGTTTAATAAAAGGTTATTCAGCATTTTACTACTGGAGTGGACATCAGTTTATGGACACCAGAAGAAGGGTGGTTAGTGCTAATGGGTGGGCAGCTGAAGAACATACCCTAGACAGACTAGAGATGAACCGGACAATCAGCGGCTCCTTTGGGGGTGAGTGCTACATATGTAACAGTACATATTTTGCTAAAAAAAAGGCAAGCCTATGCCCGACCAAGAAAAGTTGAACTATGCATATAACGACTGTATACAATTTTGTGCATTTTGTTATATGTTGAGTTTGAATTAACATGGTTTGTGAAAGGTTTATTTTAGGTCTTTGGTCAGATGTAGAGTAGCCATAATGCACTAGTCACTCTGCAAAACAAGCAAGAATACAGCTTGCCAGCATGAGTCTTAAGACACAGTTGCCTTGTTTTTTACCCGCGCAGAAATTCCTCATTCTTGCCCTCATCATTATGGCTACTGTCACTGCTGACAAAAGGTGTTAGATCAGGAGACTGTATTCCCAAAGTACAGTGTCTTTCTGTAACTGTTCAATATTATAACAGGATTGTATATTTTCTTTGTTATTATTCAAGGCTAAACAAATACAATGTTTGATTTTTTTTGTCAAATAAATTATTAATATTGCATATCAATGGTTCATATTTTCCCAGGATTCTAGGCTAGTTTACAGATATGCTGTGAATACAAGATTAGGCACATTAGATTACACACTCACAAATAAATACGTTAGCCATATGACTCGGAGGGGGGACTCTTCCCTCCTCTTCTATAGAGTTGGTGCTGTCTAGATCTTTGGTCTGGAGAAGCCATCAAGTGCAGAGCATTTAAAAAAGTAAAATTGGCCAAAACCACTAAAGTTTACTGTTAATTAACTGTTCTGCCTTATTCTTCTCTATCTGCTCCTGAGTGACATTCCCTCAACCCCATAGCAGTACTTGAATAGCAACAATGAAATGAATCTGCTCTTGTGCTCAAGTGCCATTTCTTCAGTGTTTTCTGTGTAATGAAAATAAAGAGAAATACACTCTACACGCTACAGCTCTTCCCCCTAGTTATCTGCATTTCTTTTGGATGGGGTAAAAAAGGTTTATTTTAGGTCTTTGGTCAGATGTATACATCTGAATAATAGACAATATGTATTTCAGCATGCATCGGCTTTTGTGTTGTGGGATATAATATAGCCATTGACTATTTAAAAGGAAACTTGAGTGGATCATGCAGGGCAAAGCAAAAGGTTCACTTTATTGTGAGATTCCACCCCCACATCATTTTTTTTTATACTTAACTTGACCTTGCTTCCTTGCCACATGGGAATCAAATTGAAGTACTCGGTACTTCTGGGTATAGGGGAGGAAGTGGTTGACGTTTGGAAGCTAAAGGATTATTTGTGTTTTTCCAGTGATGTTTAGTTGAAATCAGTTAAGGTAATTTAAATGCTAATGGGATTCCATGCAGGAGTGGATACATTTGGTTGACTGCTTGTGTTGGTATGTTCTAGATTATGTGGTATGTGCTATTTTGTTCTGTACATATTACTGCGCAGAACAAATGATTCACCAAGAAAAACAAATCAGGACTAATAAACTGGGATTACATTGATTTTCATTTGAAGTAGGCATTATTTTAATATCATGACTAATTCAAGGTGCTGCATAGATTGTTGGAGAGTAGTAAGCATGTAAAGAAAGTCTGAAAATCAGGAGTCATGCAACCTGCCTGCTTGGGCTTGAGATAGTCCATGCAAGCAATCGTTTCCAAAGCAACCCATAAGGCAGTGGTATTAAATTAAAATTCAAGGAGGTCTGGTGAGTAAAATTTTCTTTTAGCAGAGGTCCGAATCTCATGTCCCCACAATACCCCCTTACATTAGTTATCCCCATTAGTGTGCTCCTTACATTAGTTTTCACCATCAGAGTTTTCCCTTACATTAGTGTTCCCCATCAGAATGCTCCCTTAAATTAGATGCCTCCATCAGATTGCCCGTTACATTGGTTGTCACCATAAGAGTGTCCCCTTACATTAGTTGTCCCCTTCAGAGTTTTCCATA